TTCTTTTTTCTTCTTTTAACCAAGGTTGGACGGTTCTTCTGCAAGACAGATTCGATGCCTATATGATCAGCATACGCAACACATTACCTGACTCAATTATTGGGTCGAATTTCTTCTTCTTGTTTTCACACCATAAATTATAAAATTATTTAATGATATTACGTATCATGTGATTAAATAAATTATTGCAATTAGGCCATCTCAACCCTGGTTTTGATGAGATTTAAAGCATGATAAACCTTATTGATAATTGTCACATGTTCAACCAAATTTACAATTATTGATAATTATCTCTTAATAATTTGATATTATTTGATATTATTTGAGATAATAACTAAATTTTAGAAAAAGTCACCAGCCAAGTTCACGTGATGATAATTCTAACGAAATAGCAGACTGATGGCGGGTTTTGGAGCAATCTTTGACTGAATTTGCAACTGAGTTTTGGGTGGTTACAAGTTATTTTTGGATATTCATCAACTATAAATATAAAAATTCAACACATTCAAAAGAGGCCTAACCCTCTCAACACAAAACAACACAATCTACTTTGCAAAATGCATTAGTTAAGCTCTTAATTAGATTCTACGTTAGGAGATCAACTCTTGAAGCTCTTTAGTTTTAGGTTTTAATTGTTTCATGTGCAATTTGTCCCTTTACCTTCATAAGTTTGCTTTCTAGATCTATTTCTACAAGTTCTATCAACACATTTCAATCCTATCAATGGAATCAAGTTTTAGTTTTATAAATAGTTCATTATAGTTAATACAATCATGTTACTTTAAATTGCAAAACTCTATATCATTCTTGAAACATTCAATTTAAATTTCTAAAAATAACTTAGTTAAAGTCTATAAGAGTTATTTACTTAAATTTACCTACCATATTGAGATTTGTAACTCATTTTGGCCTTAGTTTACCTTCAATATCTACAATGCATTCTTATTTTCTACAACTCTTTTCTTTCTTATTTTATTTAATTAATAAACTCCATTGTGGCTTTGAATATGAGAAGTCCTTGATGTTTCTTCCAAAACAATTATTTTTAAATCTTTATGCAAAAATGCACCCATTTATGTTATAATCATCTGATTATAATTTTATTGATGCAATTATTTAATCAAATGAAGTCCTTCCATCCACTCTAAAATAAATTCTTATGTTTGAAAAAAGTTAAAGGTATCAAAAATCTTTTTTTCTTGTTTTGAGTAAAGTGAGTGGCGTAGCAAAGCACTTCTACCACAAGTGGCGAAGAAAGGAGGATTTTGATTGAAATAGGTTGGGTCCAATTTTATCATTTCTACTTGTCACCTAAATAATTTTCTCAAGTTTAGATTAGGCCAAGATTAGGCCACAACGTGGAGCTCTTTCTCAATTTTATTTAAGAACAAAAACAATTGATGAGTTTGGGACACAAATCCAACGTCCCGGGCGCTACATTCCACCCAAAACAAATCCTGTAACATCTTCGTGGAAGTTAGGAACATCTCTTGCTTTACACTTTAGAGGCTTAGAGCTCAGTGCTATGTATTATTTGTATTGGCATTCTGATTTCTGAACAGAACAGTCCAAGCATTTAAAAAGAGGGAATGGTTATAGCCAACATCAAATATTCGAAGGCCACCAAAACTGTATAATTCTGTTTAACTTGATTGAAAAAATAATTAATACCTGTAATTATTAATTAATAAATAATAAAACAATTTATATTTATTAATTAATAAATTAATACTTTCAAACACTATTTAAAGAAAAAATACTTAAAATATTCATGTTAAAAAAACTTAAAATATTGGTGGCCTTGGTACATTTGTTGGTGGCAATAACCACCCCCTAAAAAAACATCAGAAGATACACGTACAGCTTAGAGCGAAAAAGGAAAAGGGATAGTAACCCTAAAGAAGTAAAGAGACGTACTTCTTTTGCTTTCCCTCTACCCAACCCGAAATGAAAAGGCAATCCATGCAACTCCCAGGTCACATATTTGGTTTGCTTAAATTACCTAATGAAACGCATTCATATGAATTCATTTTAAAATAAAAAGTACAACATATATAGAATCAACTCCTAACAGGGACACCGTCAGTTCGGTTGTCACCTTGATCCTGCAATAAAATGATTTCATCTATGCATAATAATTTAAGCTTGCTTTCTTCTTTGCTTGAACCTGAATGATACCTTCATTGAAATCCTCATGGTTCACCTGAAATGAGACCAAAGAAAGCATTAGTACTTCTGCCATAAGAACTCAAAAGTCAAAACTAGTAGAGAATGTGTGGTAACCTCAGTTGCATCCCGGCGCAGGGCTAGCATGCCGGCTTCCACACAGACAGCTTTTAATTGCGCTCCATTGAAATCATCTGTGGACCGTGCAAGTTCTTCAAAATTTACATCTGGGTGAACATTCATCTTCCTTGAGTGGATCTGCAGATCAATGTAAGAAGATACAATAGGAATTCTTAACCAAGCCAAGTCATAAAAAAGACAAATCCTGGATTACACACCTGTAAGATTCGAGCTCTTGCTTCTTCAGTGGGATGTGGAAGCTCAATTTTGCGATCCAACCGACCAGAACGCATGAGGGCAGGGTCCAGGATATCAGCACGATTTGTTGCTGCTATTACCTATAATCCATACAAAGTTGCATTGAATTTGATACTTCTTTGACATAAAATTAGAAAATTTCAGTCTAAATTTTTTGAACAAACTTACCATCTTAAAATTTCCACAACAATTGTATTTATATGTATATATGTGTACAGTATACCATAAGAAACTGGTAAGGATAAAGCAAGAACCAACAAACCTTAATACGTTCATCACTGCTAAAGCCATCCAGCTGATTTAGCAATTCTAACATTGTCCGCTGCACCTCCCTATCTCCACTCACTTCACTGTAGTAATGATAGAAGATTAAGAGTCAGCAATAGTGTTCAAAATTGCACATAGAACACATACATTAGCCAGAAACCAAGTAACCAACTCTATAGTCCTCAACAATCTAAGATATTGTATACCTATCAAAACGCTTTGTGCCTATGGCATCAATTTCATCTATAAAAATGATGCAAGGCGACTTATCTTTTGCAAGCTGAAAAGCATCACGGACAAGTTTTGCTCCATCTCCAATGAACATCTAAAAATATTACCAGTTCAATATAACTATCACAGAGCCCAAAAAAGCAAACAGAAAAATTGCAGATGTTCAACAAAGCAGCTTCCAGATAAATAATTTTACTTGGTAAAAGTTCATACAATATATTAGAAGAAAACCACAGCAAATTTATACCTGCACTAGTTGTGGGCCTGCCAGCTTCAGAAATGTAGCATTTGTTTGTGCTGCACAAGCACGAGCCATCAAAGTTTTCCCAGTCCCAGGAGGTCCATACAAGAGGACCCCCTTAGGTGGACGTATGCCCAACTTTTGAAACCTCTCTTTATGTGTCATAGGCAACACAATGGCCTCAACTAGCTCTTGTATCTATTCAAGTAGCAACCATCAGAATAAGGGAAGAAGAAGGATATGACAATAATGAGGTACTGAACAATTCAAGTAGCAGCCATCAGAATAAGTCTTTAAACATAAGAGTAAACTATGAAGAACCAGAAGTGCTCTCAGTAAGCCTAAGTAAGATCCAAAACTTGCCTGCTTCTCTAGTCCTCCAATATCATTATAGTCCTCTGTTGGTTTCTCATCAACCTCCATTGCCTTTACTCGAGAATCATACTCAGATGGCAGAGTATCCAATATCAAGTAACTATCCTTGTTAACCCCAACCAAATCACCAGGTTTCAACTTGTCAGGGTCAACGAGCCCAACCACAGGTAAAAAGATGGTCTGCAATAAACATGAAATACAAAAGTTTCATCAACAAATTAAGTTCTGTCTAGATCAAATATCATAAACTTGGGCCTCTTTGCCTATTTATAATTATAAATAGGTGTTTTTACTTCATTCAAACAAGCAAACTGATATGCTGCCTCACCTGACGAGTAGATGTTTTCAGCACAACACATTTGCCCTTCCTTTGTGAATCAAGATCAACATTGGCGCCATCTTCCTCTGCCTCATCCTCTGGATTCATCTCCAGAATCTGAAAGGAATAAAAAGACACTTTTAATATCCCAATTAATTTTACAAGACAACCAGCATGATGGCACATCTGTGGTTCCTAGAAACTTAAACTACAATCTAAATCGCACAATTCAAAAAAAAAAAAAAAAAAAAAAAGAAAAAGGAAAAGAAAAAGGAGTAACATCTAAATTCAAAAGGGTAAAAGGAGTAACATCTAAATTCAAAAGGGTAAAACAAAGAAACAGAATTTACCTCCACAATGTTGCCCACCAAATAAGGCAACTGCTTGTTAAGTTTAATCTTCTCTTGATTCTCCTTTATTTTCTCTTTGTAAGACTCCAATTCCAGATTTGTTCTTTGCAACTCTTCCTTTATCCAAGCAAAACATTCATACAAAAATCAGAAACTCACACAAAAAACTAAATTTTGTATCTATCAAAATCAAAACTAAAAGAAAAAATCGATACTTTGAGCAATTATGATAGAGCAGATAGGGTTTAGGTATCCCAAACCCAGAAAAGGAAAAGCAAAAATCTTTCACCGGCTGACACAGAAGAAAAGTGTGAAGCATATGTTGGAAGATTCTAGTTAATGTATACAGAAATGCATATCGAATAAGAGTTAGAGAGGAAGGGGAGACCTTGAGGACGCGAATCTCGTTATCAAGAAGACGGGAGTTTCTGAGAATTTCATCGGTGGTCTTGGAGGCCAACTGATCATCTTCGAAGTTGGTGTCTTCAACCATGGGAGTCGCCATCTCTCTCGTTTTGAGCTGAACAACAACGTTGGAGCAGGATGTGAAGCAGAAGGGGATATCAAGGCCGAAATCCACAACGAAGAAAGAGAATTTGCCCCTCTTCTTTACCCGCTGGAACAAAAATGTCTACGTCGCCACCATGGGCTTCCTTTCTCTGAGCCCAGTTTGTAAGATTTTAGGCTCCGAAACCCAGTCTCTGAATTCAGGTGTGGTTAATTGAATTGGCTGTGGAATTTGTCAATTTGCTCACCCCTAAATCCCTATATAGATTTTCTTTTAAAAAAAAAAAAGAAAAAAAAAAGGCAAATCCCTACAATTTTTTAAGAAGTACTGCTTATCAATATTTACTTATTAAATTTTACTATCGTTAAGCCTTCGTTTGGATTGAAAGAGTTCAAGGGAAAAGGGAGGAGAGTGAAGGAGAGGTTTTCCCTCTCTCTTGTTTGGATAACAATATTAAGGGAAGGGGAGGAGCATGAAGGAGAGGTTTCCCTCTCTCTCATTTGGATAACAACATTAAGAGAGAGGGACGGTAGGGGAGATAAATGGGGGAGATAAAGTACCTCCAAATCCCTTATTTTGAATTCAAAAGAATTCAATTTATTTTTACTTTTATTTTTTAACTTTTTTTTTTCAAATATGTAATTAAAATTTCTATTGTAATTTTAATTTAAATATGTAAATTTATAAAATTTTAATTAATTTTATAATTATTTTTCTTTAATTTATTTAAATAAATAAAAAAAATATTATCTTTCCTTCTCTCTCCTTCCTCTTTTTAAATCTATTTAAATGAAATTAATATTAATCCTTTACTCTCCTTCCCTTCCCTTTTCTTTCCTTCTCCTTCCTTTCCTTCACTTCCCTTTACTAATTTTTATCCAAACATATCCTAAGGTTCAAAAGACTAAACAAAAATAGCAAAAAGATTGAAATTTTAGTCTGTTCGGTTAACTCTCATATCTATTGAAAGGAATTTTGATTTTTTTTCTTAAATCTAATTTTAAATTGTGATTTGATCAAAATCTTCTTATACCATTGTGCCTATCGTTTTCTCTTCTTATCTATTAATAAATTTAAAGTTTATAAAGAGTGTATTTGAAAATTTGAATTTAAACCTTTCAAATTCAATATTATTATTTGTTTTCACTTAAATAAAGCATAATTAAATTTGAGCAAAATACATATATTTGACTTTGGATATTTCAAAAAAAAAAAAAACGTGCATTTCAAATTCAACGTTAAACCCATAAATTTCAATTTTAAAGTGAATTTGAAAGGTTAAATGCTAAATTTGGTC